GGGAGAATTGTCGCCGAAACACTTCCAAAAGACCTCGGAGTTGAATTCTTTTAACACATCCGCTATAATAAAATCACGGATACATTCCGGAGACGCATTGGGGTCGGTCCAACATCTTTCCGATGTAATCTACACATGAGCCTTCATAATAAGATCAGAAGACCCGCTGAGACCCGCTCAGTCCCGACCCGCTGTGAACGTCAGACGTGAAAAAGCGCACCCCGGCCAGTTTCTCGAGGAGCCGCTCACTGTTTGCTACGTGACCTGAAACTCTGACGTGGACATTCCTTGCTCTGGGCGCTTGAAAGGCTATCTCGATGACGTCTTCATGACTTCGCTTTGTCGCTTCCGCCGCCCCTGTTCTCCTGACGCCAGCCCTGCTCCAAGTTGCTAGCGTCGTCTGTCGCGCTCTGATTTTGCTTACGTCTCTGATGCCTCCTCCCTCTTCATCAGCACCGCTCTATAGCGCAACCGGTTGAGCCGGAGCCTCCGCCGGAGTCAGCACGGCTGACCCCCCGGGGCCGACCGGCGCGCTTGCTCTTTTTGTTCACCTCAGTCTGCAGCGCTTGTCCCTCGCTTGTATATATCATAGCGCTCAAATTGCTGAGATCACTGCTCCTTATTCACTGCTGAAGTCATGCCGAGTCTCAATGATGCGAAAGGATTGCGATTGCTATCGGGCTTGCGATTGCATACAAGGCTGATGGACAGTTAAGCATTTTTCTATTATATCATCATCTGAAGTGTATATACACGATTCAATGCATATTGTAGAAGACACTGAAGACACTTTCAAGCGCAATTCATGCTGGCGCTCGCGTGCCGCGTAGTTGAAGCCGAGGAAAGAAACCTTACCATATTTGCAAGATTCGTTGTGAGAGTCAGTCCTACATGTAGCTGCCTGACACATACTGCTCCTCGTGAAGACTTCGATATATCAATCGGACCGGCACTGGAGCTTGACTGCTGTTGCCTGTCTGACCACTAACGGTGTGCTTCAGCTCTGCTTTGACTTCAAATGCGAACCACGCGTCCGGGCTTGGGTTTCAAATAATCATCAAAAAAGTATTTGCCCAGAGACACCTGTCCTAAGTCACCAAGTGATATAACTTCGCAATCTGAGACCGGATTTATTTTTGAACTGTGGATCTCGACTCTTTGGGACGCATGATTCAGCACCGAGCCCATGTGGCGGCTCAGTTGGCACATGAGGTCCATTGGATCCGCTGTTGGTTCCGCCACCGGAACGGCCTCAACCGGAATCATGCCGTCAGCGGCGGCCTCAAAGTCCGACAGTGTCAACGTCAGCAACACGGCCAGGTCCGCGCACTGCACATCCAGGCGCTCGTCCAGGCGCTCGCGTGCTTCCTGCAGCAGCGTCATAGCCAGGCCGCCGTTCCGCTGCCGCCGCTCCGCCACCGGAATCCGCTCGTCGATCAGCCGCTCCAGGCACGCGCGCGTGCAGTCAGGCGCGAGCGCGAAGCCGGGTATGGAGCGGGCGGTCTCCGGCCCCGTCATCTTGATCAGTATGATGTCAGCAATTTGGGCGGGTGTGTAGTCCTTGAAGACGAATTGCTTCCCAAAACGCCTGCGGAACCCTTCGTTGCAGTCCAGCACTTTCTTCATTGGCGCTTCGTAACCTGGACCAAAAGTGGACGATAGCTCGAAGTTTCAAATCTTCTGCAATCGGGGTAGAATGTACCAAGACCCTGTCTCAAAGAAGGAAAGCGCTCCTGTCGTGGGTACTTTACGATGCACTGGAAACGTACAAAGGCCCGGTAAGGCGAAATTTAAGATACATGCGAAACCTCAAGAAGTTCAGCTTTAACGTCATAACAAAACTCCGAGTCCGCCACAATGCCCAGCTCAATACAAGCCGAAGCAAGAAAATTTTCGAGGGCCGCTCTTAGCAAGAAGTGCCGTTTACGTTCCTTTTGGAGTCGGAGTGTCTCTCCAGGTCGTTTATTTTTTCCAGTGCTACAGGGATCCAATCAATCAGGAACCGATCGGACGGCAGCGTCCGAAATCCTACTGCTTTGAAAAGCATCTGACCTGCGAAGATGCACATGAGCTTGCCGCTGTCCATTTGGCTCATAATCTCTTCCAGCGCTTCTGTTCCAAAGTCGTTTGTCACGCCGGGGACTACAAGGCGGTAAGCTTCGTCCACGAAGAGCACTCCCCCCTGCGCTTTTTCCAGCTGCAGGGCCAAGACACTTTGAAGACGTCAGGCCGCTTAAAGATCGTCCTTAAAGTTTTAGGATGCAACGTTCCAATCGAAACGATCTTGAAGTGTGCCGTTAGGGCGAAACAAATCAAGACATTGTAATTCAAGGTCCTTGTTCGAAGTTGAATCGCATGAGCGTGTATAGTGGTACAAGAAAAACAGGATCGTGGGCAATTGAGGAATAACAAGGTCACTGGCTCGCGCCGATAAGGCGAGTGTTTAAAGGGGGTCAGGGTGAGTTAGGGTGCGGGCTGGGTGCGGGGAGGGCGAACAAAGGTCAGGATTTCGATCTCTTTGATTCTTCAAGGAGTATTGTGGCTCTCGAAAATGTCAACAAATAAGCCACGATTTGCACCGGTGCAACTCTTCCGTACAAGGTGTTGATCAAAACCATCAAGTCTTGATTCGCACACTCAGACGCTCCCAGGCTGACGAAGAGCAAAAGCAGAAATTATTGCTAAGAAAGGTTTGTGTCTACAGTATAAGCATTTCTAGAAGACACGCAAGCCCGAGAGAGGTCCCAGACCCTTTTGCAAATGATTCCTCTCGAGGACCTTTGATCACCATCCGTTCAAGAAACTATGCAGGCAGATCATACATAAAATTTTGGACCCTTCGAAGTAAAACAGTCGTGGATCATTGCCGACGGGGAGATGTTGCTGAAAACAAACACAGTCATTGAATGTTGGGTGACTACGCCAGGACTTACGGCTTCTCTAGTTTTTGGCCCCGTCTGTCCGATGTATTGCGCCACGAGATCCGTCCGCTGCACCTCGACCACCACGTTCCGGCGGAGCACCCCCAGCTTGTGCAGGATTCTGGCCAGCATCCTCGCCACACTAGTTTTCCCGGTGCCAGGATTTCCAAGGAAGACCATGTTTGGAGCCATCCGCTTCTCCACCCTCGCGCCTGAACAAGTATCAGAACTTCAACCATTAGTGAAGTGAGCGCTACTCAGTAATCTTTAACCCATAGTTAAATAACTCGTTCGTATGATTTTTGATAAGCTTAGGCCGCATATTTTTACGTCACTTTTGAGAGCTCGATTCTGTGGCTGATTATGTCGGTTGATCAACCCCTCTTGCATGCACAGTAAACAAAATGCTTCCCGCGTTAGACAGAAAGATTGCTTTTCAGTACCCTTCTCGAATACATGAGGTTCAAACGTACCTTACAGACCATTTTGTAGGACCCGCAAAGAGCGAAGCATTCAAACAGAACTTGAGCTTTTGAAAGCTGCGTCGAAGGCGCGCATCTCGGAAACCATTATGGCAACAGGTACAATTCCTTTCACACATGTGAAAGTATAAATCTTGTCCTCAAATAGAATAGTATACTTTATAACCCTGAAGACCTCCTTTGAACAAAAGCAACGGTCCTAACCAGACTTGTCACTAAGGAGTAAACAACACAGAGAGGAGATGAGCTCCTTCAAATGCGTCCATTTCCTGACGGTTACCTGGGGCTGCTTCAACAGGACAACTGTTTCACAAAGCTCCGTTTTGAACTTTGGTAGACACTTCGCTTTGCAAGCGTTCTTTAAGAATCCCACAGGCGAAAGCATCTAGGAATGCAGTCGTGGCATCAAAACTAGCTTTGGACAGACCTAGCTTCTGGCGTTGTCAATCTAGGAGCAGTCCCTTCTTTGCAAGCGTTCTTTGAGAATTCCCACATGCGGAAGCATTTAGCAGTGCAGACGAGGCATCAGATTTGTCTTCGCTTTTGGACAGACCTAGCTTCTGGCGTTGTCGATCTAGGAGCAGTCCCTTGCACCATCGCCGCAGGTGAGACTTCAGCTCATCCAGGCCCACCAGGATCTCCAGCTCCTTTTCTAGGTCTTCGCACGTCCATATCAGCTCCTCTTCCGCTGAGAAGTCGCTAGTTTCTGACGCCGTGTCGTCATCCATCTTCCAGCGTCGACTTGAGAAGTGGAGTGATTGAAAAGGTGCGTAGATCTTGTTAGAGATCCGGGTCTGCGGGTGAGCAAAAGCCGCTCCAGGAGTGAAAGAGTTCCACATGATTGGAGGGAGGAGGAGTTGAATGCAGAAAGGGCTGAACAAACACTGCACTTGCCTTTCAGCTCCGTCCAGCGGATCGGACTTTTGAAACTTTTAGAACCGTATACGAGTATTTTTCAAGGCGTCTGTAATTTGAGTGTCTGCTCGCTTCGTCGTCTCTGAGCAAGTAACAGATCACCTCGGTGAACTACACGAGATAGAACCCGTCACTAACAAGCCTGAGAGTAATAAAGCGCGTTTGGCAATCTTAGGAACGCAAAGAGTCATACGGGCAGATCTCAACTCCGGTCCTATCCACGGGCATATAGCCTGATTTTGTTTGCACTGTCACCCAGAATCTATCGCAGCTCGTGCGTACATACACGTAGTTAAGGAAATTGTTACTGCACCCGCCCGCACTTTTAAAGCTCCGGGAGTCGTCGATGAAGTTCTGACTTCAAACTATAACAATTCGACAGTTATAAAGAGTAGGAACTTCACTTTGGATGGTCGGCAGTCTGTGGACGTTAGATTTCACTGACGGAAAGTAGGTACCGTCACCCGTGTGCCGTCCGGCGAGCTGCGCGCTAGCACCACACTCCAACTGGTCAATATAACGTAGGGAAATGTGCGCGAGCAGTATCATCGTGCGCGGAGCGGAGCGCCGCCCCGTCTAGCCTGATTCGCCAGCATTTTGGAAAACGCCAGGCGTAAAGGTAGCTTCGACAAGTGCCATTATACGACATACAGAGAATATGTATCCCTGATATTCATTTTTCAGCAGCGGAGGACTTTGGCCGCTAGGCCAATGTCCCACGCCTCTCACAAAGTTAATCGGCTTATTGCGTCCTGGGCGTTCCAATTTCCGACACCCTTAATTGTGACTTTTCTGAGCTTCTCGATAGAAGAAACGTTATCAGTAACTGTCATGGAGTAATGCAACTCCTTCATGCTCCTTGGAGTCAGCTGACTCTGCAGCAGCAAGCGTCTGGTCGGCCTGCGCGCGCGGCTCCTCGCGAGGTAGGCGCAAGGCGAGGCGGCCGCTCGCGATCCTAATCATAGGCGCGCGCGCGCACGCAATATCATTGGCCCGACTCCGGGGCGCCCCGTTGGCGCTGTGCCGGCCGCCGCAAAGTTGAAAACGGTGTCGGCGCTGCCTGGCGACACTCGGGGCCACTACCGGTTACTTCGTAACCTGCTCAGGGTTTGAGTGACCTGTACGCTCTCCGGCGGCCGGGCGCCGCGGCCGGGTCGGCATGAGCGCGGAGCGCGTCGCGGCCGCTAGGAGTATCGCGTAGAGGACAAACCGCAATCGTCTACGTCGCTTTGACCTTCGCGATTAGATTTGAATCTTGGGTCACGTGCTTAACCGGGCGGGTTCGGGCGAGCGGCAGTCCACGTTTATTCAGCGTAAGCGTCGCCTGACATCGGTGGGAAAGATACCGTGAACGTGGTGAGTTCTGGCGGTTCTGGCGGCAGGGACCAGAGTCCCTTCGAAGACAACGGAAGACGAGATGGGGAACAATGTTCTCGTGGCAGCGTTGGCCCTGCGTGAAGAAAACGGCGACGTTCGCGAAAGGTTGATGGTGGCAAATTGGTATGGAAATGATGCGGGAGATTATAAGCATTGTCCTTTTGACCTTAAGCGTAAAGGCGAATCAGATCTCTCTGATGGTATTCCCTATGCAGCGTGACCGGCGACCGGCGGACCCGGCAGAATGGGGAGTTAAAAGTGAGCCGCTCAACGCGCATGTAAAAGAAGTGCGCGCAACAAAACGCGAAGATCGAGCGTGCAGCAGACTGGCGGACTGATGCGCACTGCCGTGGAAGCGGACCCCGTTCCGAACGGAATGGAACGATTCAGGCTTCGCTTCAGCGGAACGATGCTTTTGGCTCGTTGCAGAGGATTAGTGTACCGGATTTGTGGCAGCCCAGCAGCGGAACGAAGAGGGCTGCGGAGTGCGGCACCGATCTAAAACTGTTTTTGCAATGGTTTGATGCAAGTAAGGCGCAACATTCGGAGGCGAATGGGCCGATGGCAAGTCAAAACCGGAAAGGCGCGCCCTTCAAGTTGACGCGTACCAGTGGATATGATTGCCAGCGCCAGCGCAACAGAACGGAACGGAACGAGATATGGGCTGCCCATGAGCAGCTGAACGGCGCGACCGGTGGGTAGTGCAGTAAAAAAGCGCTAAAAGCGCGCCTACTACTGAGTAAAAAACTAAACAACCCACGCGACAGAACGGAATGACTGCGTCTTGTTGCGATTAGGCGTGACGAAGCGCAAGAGAGAGAACTATGACCAGCGAGGGAGAGGTCGGAACCAGGACTTTCACTTTGGACACCGACTGCAGTGATTCGTTTTCTCCCTCACAGATTTTCAGAAAGCTGCTGGGTGTGATGGATCTGAGGCCCCGCAAATAGAAAAGACCGAGCTGTAAAGAAACAGATCCGCCCAAAGCCTGCAACGAGATTGTGTGAAGGAACAAACTTCCAACTTAATACGGCCCGGCTGGGCGTCTCGTGGTACGAATCCCAAAACCGTCGGAAAACTAGAGCGGAACGGCGGCCATGCCAACCGGAACGGCTTACCATTGGAGCGCGGTCGTAGTGCGCCCGCGCGCGCGAATCTCATTCGGGGGGGCGACGTTGGCACAATTCAGCCCGGGGCGCGCTGCAGCGCAACTGAAACGGGGTACTTAAACAGGTAGTTCCAATTACGTCATCCTTACGCCACTGAGCGGCGATTATTTAATGGCAGATCGCATGCTTTCTGTCGCTTAGCAGTTTGCCGGCTCGAAGCTCGACAGTTGACAGTGATATCCACTCGAGGGCAAACGAGGGCAAACAAACAGGGGTCCGCAGGCACCAGCAGAACGGAACGGATCGGAAGACGTCGCTTAAGCGGAACGTCTCGGCAGCTGTAACTGCAGCGAAATGATGCCCCGGGCAGGCGCAAAACGTTTCACGGGGGAAGGACAAGCAAAGTTCAAATTTCCTTGATCAATTGCATCCTACAGCGGGCTTGAGTCAGTCCCTTCAACCAAGCGGGCATGAGATTGGCAAATTGGGTGTACATGCAGAGAGGCGCGAGACTCTTGCTCTTCACTGGAATCGTTCCGTCAGACTCCGAGCGATAGACTTAAAGCTTCTGGATAACGAACAGATCCGATACGGGAGGAAGAATGCTATAAGCCGCCGGTTAAGACGAACCAGGGCTGTAAAAGTTGTTCTAAAATAAGTGATAAGTGTGCGCGCAGTATCACTAAGTGCTGTGTCACGTTTCCTGGTTCACAGCTGTGCCTATCAACCACAGGTTGCACAACGCTACTTTATTCGATCCTTGCCGTTATCACAGATCTCCTTTTCAGGCGTTTAAAGCCTTCTGGGCTTTCTACAACTTCGCAGGGGGTAAGGTTTTGCCGTCTTCCAGGCCCCCCGGAAATTGATTTGTGTCAGCCTTAGGATGTGGAGTTGCGGCGGCGCCTTCATTTCTTGGACTGGTTTTCAAGCCGTGTTTTGCATCTGCGCCAGGATCAGAACGAGGAGATGAGAGTTTGGGCCGGAAAATTGAGATGCAGTCGTGTGCACTGCGATTAGATGTAAAGGTTGAAGCACGAGAGGCTCTTTCCAAAACGGGACCACGTGCGCATGAGATGGCAGATAAAGCTTTCGTCCGTTATCGCTCTTGATCTAGGGCATTGCTCCGCGAGAACAATATCTGCCTGAGCAACTCACGAAGTTTGATTTGGGTGGCTTCAGAACCGAGTCGTCGAATCTTGAAAATTCAAATCAGCTTCAGCTCCGCTGGGGTCCGAGTCGCTAGACGAAATCAAGCACAACTTGGTCAAGCGCAATACGTGACGGCATAGACGTCGAAGGTGGCGTCTTTTGACGTTCCAGGAGTGCATAACACGCCGGAAACCAGCCAACCTTCCTGGAGTGTGCATATGAGGGGATCAGACCGAAAGCACGAGTTGTATTTGTCCAAGTTCGAAGGATAAGTGAAAACGCACATAATACTGTGAACAAAATTGAAAAGCTCAAGCTCGTAACTTGGAAGCCTGTGACTACTGTGCCCCACAATATTTACAAAAGAAAGGCTTGTTCAAGGATTTGCAGCACTTTTGAATGTCAGATGCGGTCTATAATGTTGCAGTGCAAGACAAGGCATCATACAGACGACCCTCACCGATTCTTGCGGCTGTCTCGAGCAATTGCTTTCTCCACGACTGTGGCCAACTAGAAGCGGCCGCTTTCTTCAAATAATGGGAGGTGAAGGCGTGCAGGTCTTCTTTCCTGACGGTGTCTGAAAGATGGATACGTTGTCAAGTCTAGATACAGTGGCCGGCTATTCAGCGGATCAACTTGCATGTGGATCAATTGCCCAAACGGCCTCCAATATTACGATCAAGGTCGGAAAGTGGAGATTACAAAATAGAATACAGTCGCAGAACTAAACCTGGTAGGAAAAGGGTAGGACTCTCTTTCTGAGCCTCACAAAAAAGGGGCGGCACGTCAAGGCGTTTGGCACGCAAGGATCGAGTCGGACGAGCTTTCGAGGAGGACATGTCCACTTGCATCAGATTTGTAGCCACGTCAGATTACCGTTGCCAGAGGATGAGAGGACCCGGAGCAGAGACACTTGTGTAATTTCATTCCACATGACATGTCACCCTTGCAAGATTCCAAAGTCCTCCTAGTAATTCTGTTTGCAGTTCAATGACGGGATTGCCCCGCAGTATCAACCTTGAACAAAACAAAATCGAGCAAGAAAGGTCAACGTCACTCTCACGAATGTAACCGGGCCCTTCTGAATCTGGGTTCTCTGGCGACCACACGATTCTAGCTTGAGGTGTGCGGTCCTCGTTAAACCTGGATAGCGCCATCCAGAACAAAACAACTGTTACCTTTCCCGGGTTTTCGGAGGAGCTTGATGAGCGGCGGCCAATTCGGGCGCAGTTCTGCGCGTCGAATCAGTGCTTATCGACTTTGAACAGCATGCGTTAAGTGAGCCGTTATCTTCTCAGTGTGGTGCGGGCAGGTTTCGCGCCGAGGCGCCTTTGCGTCCGGGGACTCCGCCTCGAACAGCGCAGGCCTCGTGCGTGGGCGCCAGCCCCCGGCCACTTTAAAGCGCCCGCCCCGGTGACTTCAACTGGCCAGGGGGCGCTCCTGCACTCCTATCCGGCCTGAGGCTCCAAGCTGCCCCTGCCCTTTCGCTGCGGCCCCGGGAGACGCAGGAATGTTCGCTGGATGGGCAGGAAACCTCCCGGGGGGCCGTGCGCCGCCCGAGTTTTTAGGCACCGTCCCGCTAGTCGCGGCCGCGAGGCGTGCGGCCGCGCGGCCGCCCCCATCTGAGGCCCGCGGCCGCACAAAGTCGCGGCCGCCGCGGGTGATCGACCAGGGCTTGCCGACAAGGGTTTCTCATCCCAATCGTTTCCTAATGCATCTCGAAGAACCTGATGAGTGGTGCTCACAGGCAGCTTCTGTGTATTGACTAAAGGGGGCAGTCAGAAAGCTTCCGAAGAGCTTTGCTCAACGAAGATTGGTACGAGGAGAGTCAACTCGCGAGAGAAGTGGCGAACATAATGTCCGAGGCCAACTCGCACAGTGTGTCTTGAACGAGCTTTCACATACGAAAATCATGTGTATGCAGAGAGACGGCATGTGTAAGGCTCGCACCATGCAGAGGAGCTTCACAATATTCAACGAAAAACATTCTCAAAGTATGCACGCGATCATCGAGTTCTCGGTGCCTCTTTGCCTGCTTCATCATGCCTGTAAACCTCAGCTTGCATGAGTATCCTAAACTGTTCAACCTCGTCGATTCGCCGATCATGAATCAAGCCTTAATGGTACAATTCTCCGGGACTTTCTACAGTCTCGCAGGGCTGACGGAGGTCTTGACGTGTCCCGGTGGCGAGCCTTGGAAGACTTGGTTTGCTGCAGTACAGTTCGGAGGTGGCGTCACGTTCTCGGCCTCCGTATCTGCTTTCAAGCCCGCCAGGTGTGCATCTGCGCCAAAATCGGAATCGGTTCTAAGACGCAGTGCCATTGTTTGTGCCGTGATTGGGACCGCATGGAAGTCTCCTCATGGCACCTCGACTTGATTCTGTTCAGTCAGATTCTGCCCGAATTGGAGAAGGGGCTTTTCCCTTTGGCAAACTCTGAACTACCTCGCGATCGACCTCATAATCAAGCGTGTGAGGAGGGACGAGTAGAACCGGCTTGAACCTACGTGCACTGGGCTTGCGAGATGACCAGCACAACATATCCCAGCTACGAGCGTCAAACGAGCGTTCCGTTTCTCGGCGCTGGTTTCAAGATTACATGCTCAGAAAACCGGCCAATCTCGACTGGTGCATCCTGGCCGCGTTGGTTTAATGACATTGAGCGTGAAGCAATTTAATCGCTTGATCCCTATCGAAGCATACGTTCTAAAAGCAATTGTGTGAACAAATGCATGACCATTGAATCCGAAGCCTATATCTACAGGCCGGCAAAGATTCTACTCACCAATCTTCGCGGCCATTTGCAGCCACCGGTCTCTCCACGATTGTGGAACATTGTCAGCCGCAGCTTGTTTTGCCAAATAGGAGTGGTACGCTAGCCGGTCCTCCTCCCTGACCCGATCTGTAAGAAAGATATAAAAGGTACGCTTGTAGGTTGATTTCATAGCACGTTTTGGCTTAAACCAGCCTGATTACCAGACTCAGTCTCAGTCAGGGGACAAAACTGGACTTTAACCTTGTTCTGGAGCTGGTTAGAGCCCAAGTCTGGTTACTGGACACACAACCATTCTCTGACCAACCATAACCATCCCATACCATCCATGGTTAAGGGGGGGGAAAAAAACCTCTCTGTAAGCGGTCTAGCTTGTGGATGATCTAGGCAGCAGACGAAGGCTTGAAAGGACTCGGCAACTGTCACACTACACAGGAAATCTGAACAAACGGAATGCGAAACTGCGTTGGCAAGTCCTATTATAGACTTGAATTACACGAGGGTGTCTGGAGTATTCTTTAAACAGGGCGGTAACCATCTTATAGACGCGAATAAACCGGTCGAGCAAAATTACAAAAGACCATTCTCTCAAGGACTTCACTCGTAGCCGCGTTTGTTCCAGGGCGGCCTTCAAAATCGCAAATTACCACGACAGACGACTTCAGAGCTTCTCTAGCTTGGATCGCGATGAGCCAGTGCAAGCGGAGATGACAAAATGTTTGAGACGAGGCCGCGTCCTGATAGAAGACTTTTTTCATCATTCAAGAGCTTTGAGAGAGATTTACCTACTTCCGACTCGAGCTTCAAAAGATGAGAGGCGGCAAGAGTGCGCTTGATGGGCATGGTGTCATAACACATGCCCAACACATATGTGCAAGGGCGTCCGAATCGAACTCCAAATCAAATTGGCCCTCGTGGGGGGGGTGCTGGAGGCCAGTGGGGGCAACATATAGGGGCAACATTTACCCCTAGGGAAATCAAGCATTCTAGCTAGGAGAGGGGGGGGCTGGTGGCCGGTTTTATTTTCGGAGACGGTTCCAGACGCCCCTGCAGAATTGTTCTGACACGATGCCATGTGCAAGACCTCCTTGGACGCTATTAAACCCTCAATACCCATATTGACGTGTCAGTATAGAAAAGCAATGGGCCGCACTGAATATTATTTCTGGACCGTGCTACAAGTACGTATCAAGGCCACCTTTTTTGTTAGTGTGCATCGGTCCGACCGGCCCGGGCCTCAATGGTGACATGCGCGGTTAATGGCGGCAGCCGCAGGAAAGTTGCGCCACAAGATACCCTAACCGGTTGCATGATTTTGATCAACAGGAGCATCGGCTTCAACGTCTCGCCAGGCTGACGCCATGCGCTGCAGATTACGTGGGCGGCTCGGGGTTCATGCATGCACCACTGGGTTGTTAAGATTCACACATTCGGAATTACTGCGCTACTAGGCTAGCTAGCTCGAAGGAGAAATTTCGAAAATTCACTCTAATATTCAACAAATCACAAAATATCTCGCGCGCATTTGATCTGATAACATCGCTCTAGGCAACTTCGTAAATTTGCCATTACAGGCTGGCATGCAATATAGCTCCATATAATGGGAATTCTCGTGCCAATCGACCATGACATGGATGCACTCAATGATGAGTGATGCTTAGAAAAGGACCTCATTCAATACATGCTCTTACCTAACCGAGCTTCTTGGCCGGCCTTTGCACAATTTCGACGCGAATACAGACGGCTATTCCAGATATGTATTATGTGGGCGGACCAATCCAACACTAGCATCACAACTGGTCGGAACAGAGCCGGCGCACCATGACACACAAATATCTAGAAGATTCATGTCCAGTGCATTACATGGCAACCCCGTCAGGAACTGCTCGTGTGACATACAAGGAACTTTCGACATGACGCATATGTATCCAGGTAAACCAGCTGAACACACTCCTTGGCAAAACCTTTACAGGCGTGGACCAAACTCAATCCACAACTTCCGAACATCGTTTGTGTCTACGAAGTCCAGGCGATCAGCTAAAAGAGCAGTTTGCCCTTATGCGGGGACCTTGATATTCGTGATGTCGTCGGCGAGGAAAGCCTGGCCAGCAGCCCTGTTAGCAATAATCCCGTGGGAACCCAACACCTGCACAAGGAAGCGTCTCTTGTCTCGAATGGACACTTCGCAATTTACACTCCAGACGTTTCTATCACCGTACCGTTTCTATCACCAGAAGGAAGTGATGGCACAGTAAATAACCTTCGTTTTTGACGCCAGCAATCAGCCGTGCTTCTATTCGCTGCTTCTGAACATTTTCAGTCCTGATGCTGTCAGCGAAAGTCGCCCAAGTGCAGCGAGAGACAGTGAACAGCCCTTCTCGAAGCCTGCAATTGAAACTCCCGCAACAGATTACAGAAAAGCACACGTAGAGCACAGAAGTAAAGTCAGTGATGCTGAAGCGCCTGAGCATAGGCTCCAAGGGGCGAGTCGAAGTCAAATCAAACCGAAGAGCGCCCCTCACCTTGGCGTTGACACCGTCTAGGATAATCCTGTTGTTCTCCTTGAGCGTCAGGTAGTCGGCGCGCGTGATCTTGGTGAAGCCCCACTTGCGGCTGGTGATGATCTTTTGCCGGCCCGGGAACTTGAACTTGGCACGCCGCAGAGCCTCGATGGCCTTCAGAACAAGGGGAAAAGGCGTCGTCAGGACAACTGCCAGAGTTGTGCCAGAAAACTCTTCTTTGCGACGAGCTCCAGACTGTGTTGATCCGACAAAAGACGACGAAGTCGACTGCGCTTACAGAGCCTCAAGGGCCCCTGGCAGAGCGATGAACAGCGGAATTAGGGTAGGCTTATCGGAAAGCAGATAGAACGAAGGAATAACAAGACTTCACGACATGAAGGAAGCCGCATGATTTCTGTCAGCGACCAGCGACAGTTGTTTCGTCAACAGGTTGGTGAAAAGCAGACTGTGAAGAGAGAAAAGTCCCTGACCAAACAATTTGTCTGTACAAACAACTACAAACAACTTCGATGCTTGTTAACCAACCCCAGTTCTAGGAAGCCACAGTCAACAGTCTCGCCATAACCGGAGCAACATGACATGTGACCCCCCCTGCCTTAACTTTCAGCAGTGACTTGATTTTGATAATCAAGATAGTCAAATCGAAAAGAAGGAGACACCGGAAGTCCTAAACACCGAGAGTGCTACAAGTCACTATTGGAAGTTCGCAACGAGTACTGCAAATGGGCGCCAATTTTGACACTTTGTGCCGTTCAAGAATCAACTCAATTCGGCAGAACAGATAGTGAAGCAGACTCACATGCACTCCGTTGTTGTCCTTGGACCTCACAGAAAGCAGCACCTGGCCAATCGCCACCCGCGCGCACACCCCCTGGGGCTTGCCAAACGCACCGCGCATACCCGTCTGGAGCCTGTAGATTGTAGGAGACTAGATTTAAAGGATAGCACGGCTCGCAAATCGTGACTTTTGGTGCTAGTAGAAGAGCAGATCGTGGCTTGAATCAGAACACCTAGTTCAGCGAACAGGCCGCAACAATTCTTGCCTTCCAGACAAGACAAGCAACCTGTTCTTCTTTGTTATGTGACTGTCTAAGAGTGCATGTCAGAATGCCAGTACTGAAATCCAAGAGGGGGAGGAGAATAAACTTCACATATCTACAGAGCATCTAGAGGGCCAGAGTGGGCGCCCCGCGAGGCAGGCAGTTCTTTCCCTCTCTCTCTGACGGGGCCCCCTGGTGCCATTCTGCTGGTGCCCTTTGTCGCTTGACGGCTTCTACTTACAGAAATACTCACACACGCCAGAAGGGTCAAATGCTTACTTCTGAGACAAAACCTTCCTTGCGACACCACAGCCCCTGCCCCCTCTCGAGACACTAATTTGACTAGATTCCTTGGTCAAAGCAGTAATCTACAAAGAGAACCAGATTAAGAATGCGCCCCCGTGCACTGAGGGCCAGAGCAGAGCACCTCTTATAAGAGGTCTCATAAAGTAGTCAGTTCCACGAGCTGGTTCACAAGTAACTAGGGAGGGCAACTGACCTATCAGCCCCGGCGCACGAGAGCATCTTGTTGATCCGCAGCACGTGGTACGGGTGCACGCGGACGCGCAGGTGGAACGCATCCTTGCCGGCCGTCTTGGTCATGTACTTGTTGCACGCAATGCGGGCCGCCTCAAGCGCCTCGGACGACACGTTCTCCTTCTCCCAGGAGACCAAGTGCACGCAGTAGGGGAACTCCTCGACGCCCTTCCGCTTCATGCCCACATCGTAGATACGGATCTTGGCGTCGGGGACACCGCGGCAGTAGCGGGACTTGGGATACGGCTTGTTCTTGATCTGCCGGTAGCTGGAAGAACAAGGGGGGTGGGTTTGACAAGGGGAGTTTCAGGTTGACTACACGGAGTGCCAGAAATACTAGACGGAGAAGATTTTGACCTAGTTGTCAGTGGCTTCAGAGTACCGATACGAGGGGGTGGTTCTTTGAGTTGGCGCGTCGCCAGACCAGGCCAGAAGCGAGAGGGCAGAAGTTCTGGAAAACAAAACAATACGCGACGGGCACTGCAAAGCATGGGTTCATGCAGCGGCCCTCATCAATCTCAACAAGCTCAGCTTTGCAAAGTAAAACCTGGTCAGTCCTGCTCCTAGTACTCCCATACTCTCTTGCCCCAATCAAGCGCAGTGAAATTGACGGGCTAAGCGCGCCCCAGAAAACAACTCCTGGCTACTTGGAATAAAAAGCACCGCGGACCCCAGAACAGAAGGACAGCTATACTTGTCCCATGTAATGCCCAAGCCTAACCGACTGAAACAGCCTACGAGTTTGAAGTTTGCGAAGTCAACTGCTCAGTCCGGACTTGTACTTTGCCTCCAGAACCATAATGCAGTACAGCTCTGTCCACCTAGCTCTGTGAACTAAACTCAGGACAGCTCCTGCATAAGAAAATACCACTGCCGGCCAGCCCAGAAACTATGTCTATCGACCATAAGTATCCCCTGTCTCCTGTTCTCAACCATCCAAGAGAGAAAGATGTACGAGAATAGCAGTAAAATGATGTGCCCCCTGACTGCTCCCCCCTGACTGCACATGCTCTTGCGATTGCCTCCCCCAACAACCTTTACCGCTCTTCTCAACACGTTTGCAGTGACTCTAACAGCAACTGTAACCTGGACCTGTACCAGCTTTATCCTGCTATATCGAGGCCTGACAAGTGGCGACAGACTCTAAAGCGTAGCCTCCTTGCAAACCTATCAGTTACCCCTCAGTTTGTAAAGGAGCCGGCCCCAACTTCAGAAACCCTCACAAGCAGCCGTACATGCAGCCCAACCTACCGTTACCAAGTTGCTGCTGGGTTGGGTGATGTTCTGGCAACTCTGATTGCTCTTTGCTTTTTAGAGCTTTCTAGCCCGGCTGGGTTTCTGGCCCGCCTTGTTCACAGGAGGCCCTCAGCCTAAAGATGCTGCTCTGATTGCATACCATTGGACAGGCGGCCCTTGCTGATTCCAACCAACAATCCCAATCAACAACAAAGTAGCACTGCAAACTCACCATCTGGCCGGACCTGCAAGAAACAGGGCAGCTTCACATCAGCCACAGACAGCACAGGAAGCAAGATTCCGAGGCGGCCCGCACAGCAGTGGGTAAACTAACAACAGCCTCCAAGGACCTTTCAGCAGCAGCCGAAGGTAATCGGTGATGACCGGTACAACAAAGCCCCAGCTGTAATATTTCCAAGAGAACACACAAATCTATTCAAAAAACCCACATCCTACGTGCTACTGTGGAGCTCTGCAAATACCAAGACGGCGACCATCCGCTGCAGCAAAATTTCTCCCGCACCACAAGATGCTTGCAATCAGGGTCTAAACGATAGCAGAGCAGACACTTACGACGCCCCATCTTGCTCCACTCCCTTGCGTTCCTGGCTGGCGCCCTTCCTATCCAAGCTGTGCACAAGAAAGAGGAAGAAGCCGCAACGCGCGGCTGAGAAATGATCCCCCTTCTCAATTTGCTCACTCAAATACACGCCGAAACTTTGAGCAGAGAGTTTTGCGGCCACGGGGCCCTTCCAGAAACGTCCAGCACAGACTCGGGAGCGGTTTCTGGAGGGGTGACGGAAGCAGCGACGAAGAGGCCCCGCGGCGCCAGCTGGAAGCGGTTCGATCCTTCGAAAGTCGATGTGTCGAACTTTTCGTACACCTTTACATACCTAGGTACTAGGGTTTTGGAATGCTGTGCTTCACCGATTGTTTGCATAATTGGTGATAGGTAGGGTTTCATAGGTTTATAGGCGTTAATGGAGTTCGGCGGAAGTTTAGCACGGACGCAGGCCAAAACGTCGCCGAATATCACTCAAAATCTACAGGTTTCACGATATTCAAACTTCAAAGCCCAGGGACAGCATTGCAATGCTGAGAAGCGCAGCTCAACTTCAAGCTGAAGGCGCCACATTGTACCTATTACCTAGTAGTATTAGTCGCGTCTTTACAGACCTGCAACAATGGCGTCCGCGGTGGTTCTCGCTTCCTCTGCCTCTACCTTCCTTGCGGCACCTCTCGCCAGCGCTCCCTCAGCCTCTCACAGGCGCGCCACCGCCTGCAAAGTTACCTGCAGCTCTGAGGAGCGCAGGAAGGTAGCAGTCAGCATTGCCGCCGCCGCGGCTGTCGCTTTCCTTGCAGCAGGGCCCGTTGTTGAACCCGCCCAGGCAAAGGACATCCCCCTCTTCGGGCTCAAAAAGAAGGCTACTAAGGCTGTAGACAATGCGGTAGAAAATGCAAAGGAGGCGTCCGGAAACTTCTTCGACTCTTTCTCTGCTCCCTCTTTCTCGGCTCCCAGCGTAAAGGTGTCAACGCCAGAGGACAAGTTGACGAAGGCGGGGGCGGTCGTTGTTGCTGACGTGGTCGCGCTGCTGGTTGCTTCTTCAGTAGTCAGCGGTCTCCTGAAGCCAAGCTCGTAGATCTGGTTAGGTACGGTGTTGAGTCAGAGCAGATCTGTGTTGGAGAAGGGGAGGGGTAAAAGGGCTGAGCAGATCTAGGTAAGGGACGGAGGGATGGAGGAGGCCAGAATGCAGCAATGAGAGCTGTTGGGGTGCGCAATGTGGGGCATCAGCATGCAAGGGGCGTGGAAAAGGGAGGTTGGCTTCTTGATGTGCGGACGTCGGTACCACAGCCTTGAGTAGGGAGGCCATTAGCAAAAGAGAGCTGGCAGTTTTGACAGGCAGGGTTTTGAATCCAGCAAGTGCCGCAAATGCGGTTGTAACTCTGGGGTTTTACTGACACATCTGACATTGAACAGTCCTGGTCCATGGAATAAACGCAATAAAGTACTCTGCCTGTTCTCGCTTACGTTCCATCCTGCATCCATAGGTTTGCATGGCTTATCTAATCTCCGTTCATTTTGTCTTGTTCACTTTGTCATATCTTCTTTGCGAAAAGTCTATTGCATTGCCATGCTCCTCAAACCGCCACCCGCTGTCCGTGTGACGTGCTGATTCGCACTTGCCTGGCTTGAGCTTTGCGCCGGGGATATTTTTGCGCTATCTGGAGATAGTGGAGACATTACATTCTTACTGCAGCAGTACGAAGACGAAACTGAGCCTTTAGAGAAGATTTGGCCGCCCTCATGCGATCCATCAGAAACAGCCCTTTTTTGAGTCACTTTGGTCTGGTTTTGAGTGATGGTTGCACTTTGGTGAGAAAGCGCTTGATGAAGCCCTCCGAGCTGCATTCACTCTTCTCTCGCATTTAGTACTTCTGTACAGTACTTCTGTACAGCTGTGCTTGGCATGAGCAAACCCTTGATAGAAAGCTGATGCATTTTGTTTAATGCTTCATGGATGCTAGCAGCCATGATTTGAAGTCGCGTATGCCAACGATTCCAATGATGAGGCCCGCAAGCCAGCTAGCTTCAGACTGATATGCATGGACTTATATCACACTAATATGCGGCAGCACGCGTCGACCAACTGGAACCATGGGAGCCTTTAAGGTCATGCGCTATAGGACCGAATCTGCTGGTCAGGCATGGACAGACGCAAATGTCGCAGACATTGGCTGTAAGTTGCACAGGCTAAAGATGGCATGGCAGTCGAACTCACTACCCTGAGTCAATCATGGTCGCATGGTTGTGCTGCGCAACGTGCCATACATCCATGCGAAGGTGGCCGCCGCCCTGATTTGCAATTTGCCGGCAGGTCTCATAGACTGAGCAATTAAGCTGCAGGTGCGTATGCCGTTTCACTCCATGCTGCGCTGCAGTGAGTAAGCTACGAGGCAACCTAGGAGATGCTGCTGGACATTTCTGTAAAAGGGGCGCCGGGCAGACAGCAAGCTCGGCGAGGGTTTGGTTCCATATCACTAGCTGACAACCAGTGCATGAATCATTGAGTTTCACGAGTGATACGTTCTCCCACTTCATGATTGATCCGAGTCACAATGCGCGCCTGCATGGCCTTCCATGCATAGTGCAGCACACATGTTTCTACTTGAGGAACGAATGAGGGCAATCGCATCCAAAGCTAGATCATGAAGTTATGTTGCCACCGGAACAGGCCGCATGATCACTAACAATAAAATGTTGATCCTCCCCAATTACCAGAGCTAGTCGACATTTTTTCAAGAATAACGGGGAATTCTGCACGTCCTGCTGCTGATCCCTCCAAGTTCATCTAAGCATGCATATGATATTCTACACCTACCTACTAGAATTGTCGATTGACCGGACTCTTCTGACCTTTGTTTGACTGTGCGGATACCTCCTTACTGCTTTTCCATTGCATGCCTCTATAACCTGCTCTGGCTACTGCTCAGCTCCGACCTTCATAAGTAGTGACTGAAGAAGTCCGCCCCAGCGACAAACGCCGCCTTCGCCGCCTGCGACACGACCGGGTCCTTATCGTCTCCCCGCAGCGAGAACCCGTGCGTCACGCCCTTGCCGAGGAACAGGTTCACCGCGCTGCCGTTGTCCTTCGCCTTGAGCGTCTCCCAGATCCTCGCGCGGAACTCGTCCGGGATCTGCGGGTCGTTCTCGTTGCAGTTGAACAGCGCGGGCTGCTTCAGCGCGTCGATATGCTCCTGCTTCAGCATCGAACCGTGGTTGATAACCACCGCCTTGACATTATCGGTCGCCGCCAGCTTCGCGGCGAAGTGCCCCCCCCAGCAGAACCCGACGACGCCGAACGACGTCGCCCCGTGGTCCTTCGCCACGGCCTCCAGGACTGACGTCAGCATCGACTCGACTTCGTCAAAGGGGTGACGTGCGAGCCACGCGTCCTTCTCCGCGAAGTTGGTCATCGGGTCGCCCTTAATGAGGTCAGGGAGGACCGCGAGGAAACCCGCTTCAGCGAGGCGGTCGGCATACAGGCGGGGGTTCTTCTTGTCGTACCCGAAGACATCTGCGAAAAACAATCAAAGCTTTCGTTTGATAATTCGTCGAGATGGAAGGAACGTCGGTATCTTGTAAGGAAAGGATCTCTAACAGACCGATGAGCAGAGGTTCTTGATGATGTAACCGAACACGTCTGCAGAGAATGATAGAAGTTGCTGTCAGTTTCTTTTCGTATGACTGATCATGATCTCTTCTTGAAACCATAAGAACCGTCCCGCAAACAGATGAAATCAGTTCCATCTCGGAGCTGCGTGTTCTAGGATAGAGGACAGATCGGAAAACCCTTGGAGACAAGGATGGTGCTGTCTCTGTTGTCGAAGAGTGGAAACGGGACTCAGTAGGTCCGATCCAAAGAGTGCTGAAAGGGAAGGCCGAAGAAAACAAGGACTTCTCAAGTAGCGAGAACGAATGTTTCTCTCAAGCAAAGAGAGCAGGGAATAACAGGGGAGAATGACAGATTATAAGGAGTACGAAACACGCAACGCAGAACGAGAGGACGAAATCAGTAGTTCGGCAGCCTTATGGCATGAGGGACGGCTCAAACATGGCAAAAGAAGGTCTTCGGCAAACAGGACTGCTGTAGAACTTCGAGGGCTCAAAGCAGAAGGGACAGCCAAAGTAGTAAGCAGGCTTCTGATCAGGTTCCAAATCTTGGCATAGAAGAAAAAAGGCAACGAGTATGTTTGAAGCTCCTGCTTTTACTTGAGATACGCTGCACAGTTGCGGGGCTGAGGAAAGGACATTGCTCCGAGCTCTAGAAAGTTTCATTGAGCTGAGGGCGAAAAGAGTATCAAACCGCATCAATCTTTCAACCTTCAAAGTGGAGACAGGACACTCCCCCAGGTTTCACAAGTTTGCAATATACGGTCCGTTTAACATGTTTAAAAACAAGTGCTGAGGCAGACGCTCAGATACGTCAGTGAGTAGGTTTGAAGCTCTTGGTTGTGTCTTGCTTGTCAGGGTAATTTGACAAGAGGCTTATGGGAACAGGATATTCTGAGAATGTCTCCCAAGGATGACAGTATGCACATGTCAGAAGAGTGTGGTATCAAGCCAAGCTGGTCAGACCCAACAAGATGAACCTGCTGCTGTCTCTGTAGCTCTGAGCCTCCACACATCTATGATCTGAGTACTGCCATAGCACTGAGCAGGCAGAGGCGATCATACGTCACCTCATAGCGACAAGTATGCAACACAGTTCGCGCTCAGTCCTGGAGGAGGGCATGGCAAGATGCATCTGACACCGATGACAAATAAAAACTTCTTATGCAAACAAATATGGAAAAGAAACTTCAGTGAAGACCACATGTATTGAAGAACAGCTACGTTTGGAAAGTGTCCAAGTCTGTGAGATGGCTGGCATAGCTGACCAGGTTGTAAGTGATTGGACATGAAAAGAATCTGTCAAAGGCGTGCTAGTGCAGGTGGTGATCTAAAGGAGCAGCTGCCTACTTGAACCCTCATGGTGAGAAGCCCATGTTTAATGGTGAAAGCTGGAAACTTTGTCCAGAGAAGAACGGAGCAAGCACAGCTTGAAGGTCCTTCAAAGGCTTTCAGCTGTGATTGACTAACTAGCCAGACGGAGCTTGCTCCACCCGGAGAGTACTTTGACCAGTGGCGACTATGGTTCCAAACGCAGATCTGACACTCATATTTAAGATCGATCCAAGTAGCACCCTAACGCAATGCAGACACGCTGATTTAGGACTGCTTTGCTCTTTGATTCAAAGGCATATGTGTCGCTGCTGAAATATCTGACAGTTCTCCATCAGGCTTACCACTTAGACAGAAGGATCTTTCTGCCTGTACTGACGTGCGCAAAAGCTACATCACTTCCCTGACCACGTCTGAATACTGCTAGTGCTAATTGTGAGCAGCATTCGTAAGATCCTCTCAATGTGTCCAAACCCAGTCCAAATTGTGCTTTGTAGAACTCATAGTACTTAATGATACTCACCACTTGCCAGAATCACAGCCTTGTTGGTCTCCTTTGCTGGCATAGCCACATAGGCCTTGATCCCATTCAGGTCCACTTCCTTCCCCACTGGCTCTCCATCCCAAGTGAACCCGACGTCAACGCACTCCTTGCACACCATTCTGCTAGGTAAGAGATCGGATGCGGACAGAGACTTCCTTTGAAGGGATTCAAAATGCTGCAAGCAGCTGTCACCAGGCGAGAAACTTAAAATGTGGGGCTCAGCAATGTTAGTGGCGATATTAGAAAGCGAGCAAGTCTGAGCGAAATCGGAGCTAGAAATCAACCCCTGATACGAGCTGAAAGGAGGCTGAAAGGAGGACACAGCTTTGCATGCAGCAATTCGTTCTGCTGCTGAAAAGTTCTAGAACCTAGGTCCTAGGACCTAGGTAGCATTGGCAAGTTGTTCACCATTCTTCTCTGATCTCATAACTTTTGCACGAGGCAATGCCCCTCATCAGGGCGCCATGGCAGCACATATGCTCGCGCTCAAAAGCTTTGCGAAAGATTCTGACGTCAGCAGGAGGTCAGCTGCGGGTTGGGGGACCCCCGGCGAGATTCTCCCAAAAAGATTCCGTAGCAGGGGGCCTTTTCACATTCTGTAATTTTGGTAACCTTCCACAGCCACTCTGGGTGTCGTGACAGTCGAGGAAGAGTGAGAAATGCCGCTGCCCTGCAAGCGATTGCAACTAAGTCTTTATGCTTACAACTTCGGTATCAACAATTAGGAAAATCTGTGAACAGTGAAATTGGAAGGCGCCATTCCTTTGGACAACCAACCTGTGCAGATTTCTTGTGTGAAGCTTTGCAGCACCAAAAGGAAGAGGGTTGAAAGCAAGAGAAAGCGTTTCTGCAGGCACTCCATTGGGTTTCCTGCCCAAGGTTCACAGCTTTTGAAAGTCCTTTCCAGGTCTTCTATACAGTGTTTGTATCATGTCTTTGTTCAGTTTGCTGCGCCGGCATCACTTGTGGTACTGATCTTAAACCACGTTGCAATGGAAGGTGCAAGTACGAGCACCATGGACTTGTATGCAATCACGAGAGCCAGCATCGAAACGCTTGCGCACGAGAAGAACGCAAGGGGTTTCATCTGGATTGTTGTTCCAGAGGAGGGGCAGGCGTTCGGAGGTTTCTCACAGAGCCTCAGTGGTGCAGTATGGGCCGGCGCTGATGCTTGATGTGGAGAGGGCCGCAGCAAGGTGAGCACTTATGCCTTCTACCTTATTCCTTATACCTTGTACCACAAACCTTATACCTTGATATCTCAAACCTTGTTATTCCACTTGTAGGCACGTTGCTTTATGGAGTACGATGGAGATGCAAACATTGAGTCATAGGTTGTACAATCAGACGGCCCTATGAACTGGTGGCGCCAAGGTGGATTCTAGCTGGTTCTATGTCACTGACAGAGCATCTACCTCAGTGACTTGGAGTTTATATCATTGGCTTCGCTCAGTCTGGTATTCTGGCATGTGGATTTCTTTGAAAGTTTCAGCTGAAAGACCGGAGGAGGTTTGAATTGAAGGATTCTTGGATTGAAGGACCTTCTGGCCAAAAGCTGTCAATCCGCAACCTTTGTAGCAACAGAGTTTTCAGGGTGCGCACATGGTCGACTGCGCTTGGACGAAAACAAGTAAAGAACATGCTGGAAGGGGACAATTGACCGTGCTCAGCCTGATGTCCTGTTAATGAAGTCCACTTCACAGTTCTACTTCAAACTTGACTCACAACATGCAAATTCATGTTACCCTTGGGAATTGTCAACTGAGCAAGAGGAATCTGACCGAATGGCAGAAGGTTGGGAGACTGTCCCAATTCAAAGTGTTGCACTTTTCTCTGCAAAGTCAGATTGCTAACAATTGAAGTCTGAGGCGTGCCTGGATGTTCAAGGTTGTCAGAGACAAGTGCAATGTGCTGCAGTTGACCCTCACTGTCAACATTCTTTTGTGGTGATTTTCAGATTACTCCATCCAGCATGGACAATGCGTTAGGGGATGCTTAGTAGAGTCTGTATACTATTCGGGGATGCTTAGTAGAGTCTGTATATTATTGGGGGATGCTTAGTAGAGTCTGTGTATTATCTCCTAGCCCTATGAAATGCATACACTCTTCAAACAGCAAAGTCTGTTTCCTGGCTCAATCAGGCTCTTGCATTTGGCATAAGTGAAGAAAGTCACGCCTCCTACTAACACGATAGACAGAGAGCTGGAAATCCTCCTCACAGCAAGCTAGCATTGAGCAGCTGTCCTGGACACAAGCACAGCCATATACTCTCACCCCCCAGCACAGAATGGATGTAACAACTGCCAAACCCTCCACAGTCATCCTCTTGACGCAGAACCCCCCTGGATTGTGCAGGCCTCTCGTGGTATGGAGCGAGGGGAGGCTGCTGCCCTCTGCAGACGTTTTGGGACAAGTCAAGCACGTGGAACCGTCTTCACCCTTTGGTGGCTGCCCTGATTGTTGGTGTGAACAAGGTCAACAAGTACAAGATCCCGCGGTCACAGGCAACTGCTGCCAATGTAAACGCTCCCCTGTAAACTGTGCAGCGTAGTACGGCCTCCCATTGATATATCAATGTTTCTTGAGGTCCGTCCAATCCTGGCGTTGTGCTGTTGCTGAGTATCTTCAGCAATTTTCAAGTCCAAAGGTTCGGCTTTGATCCCAGCAGGTTAGATATTATTCTACTACTTACTGCATGCAACTCTCGGATTGTTCAAAAGTACAGGTAGGGTGAGCTTCAGTCTGTGAAAAACGGTCTGAACACTTCTTCTCACATCCTCTTTCATTGTTTACTGCTTCTCCAAATCATATCCCTCTGTTCACATCTGTAGATTGGTCTCCGCTTTCTCCAGCAAAGCCCCCCTTGTCTTTTCTCCGCCATCACACTTATTTGCAAGTTCTACTCCGCTCTCTTTACAGATGCCTGACTGGTTCCCCCTACCCTTCGACAAGTACAAGCTTCGCGCCCAGTCGTTCGACCTTCCCGAGCTCTACGCTGTCCTCGACGCCATCTTTGCGCACGTCCGACACCACCCCGACAAAATCGCGGCGCTCCGCACCGACGCCAACGTCCACTTCTTCAAGAACCACACGAGCATGTTTGCGCGCGCCGCGATTCACGCCTACTTCGACCTTCTGGCCTCGGAACTGCCCCGTGTGAGCGCCCCCCCCGCGAGGGCCGGAGTTGCTCCCCCCTCCCCAGCTGCACGCCGTGGGGGGATCCCTCTCACGGCCTCTTTCAACGCCGCCCCATCCCCCCCCTTGAGCGGACTCCAATTCGGGGGGGACCTCACCACCCCCGTCGGGAGCCTCTCCTCAAGCTCGTCGGTGTCGCAGCTACCCCCCCGAAACGGAGCATCCCCTCTGCTGTCTCCGAGCGATCCTTTTGCGGGCGAGGGGCTTGAGATGCTAGATGAGCTCGGCGATTTTGGTTCCCTGGAGGGGGGTCGCAGTCTGGGCTCCCTTGAGTCTGGGGACTTGGGGGAGGAGGACTGGAGCCGCCAAGGAGACCCCGTCGAGACCTTCCTAATGGACTTTGAGATGGATGACGTCAGCGGTGGCCCGGAGGCGAGGCCCGCTGATGTAAGCGTAAGCTTGGCAAACTTCGGCGGGAGCTCTACGGATGTCAGGGGAAGCATCGGTGATGTCGGCGTGAGCTTTGACGTGGGCAGGAGCTCTGCTGAGGTCGGCGCGGGCCGTGCTGGCCTCAGCGGGGCTGCGAGCGGCGGCTCCTGCCAGATCAGGGGGCGGGCGCGCAAGCGCCCTACTGACGTCAGCGTCGAACTTGGGGAGGACCCCCTTGGCTTGCGTGGGGCAGCTTTTGACCAGGGGCGTGCAGCAGGGGGGTATGGTTTCCAGGAAAACGTGTTGAGGATGTATCCGGCAACGGTTGCCACGTCACCTGAGGCTGATTCTGTGCTGAGAGGGTTGGCTGAGGCGAAGGCGCCGAAAGCGGGTTTAGAGAAAGGGCCTGGGCCGTTGACCCAGAAACTGGCACGAGTTGCCCGTGGGTTTGAAGTGGACGAAGATTTGGAAAGTTGCTCAAAGGAAGGCTTTGAGGATGGGCCGCTGGATGAGACGTGGGGTAAAACAGAGGGGCTTTCCAAGGGGAGCTTGATGAAAGGTCAGGTTGGAAGCGGGTTAGACTACAAGAAGGAGCTAAGCAGCGAGAGCTCTTTTGAAGACTTGAGGGCAGACGTTGACTCGCTGGCAGGAGAGCTTGAGGCAGTGACGTTGAGAGCGGCGGACGGAACCTTTGCGCCGAGTATGGACGAAAAGAGGGGGGCGTTGTTGGACAGCGGAGCGAACGGGAATGGCGGTTTGCTTCCTTGGGGCTTGCGGAGAGCTGCTGATTCGAGGGGAATTGACGGAGTGGCGCCAGCGTCATGCAAGGGGGCTGGAGACAAGCGGAATGGGAGAGAGAGCGGGGGCGGAGTGAAGAAGAGAATGCACGAGTTGGATAGGCGGCTTGGAGAGACGGGGGAGCGGGCACAGGCACGGCGACGAGAACTAGAGGTGTGGTGTCTCTTCTTGTGCAACTCCCCCTGTCAAAAAATCCTCCGGGCTCAACACCCCACCATTCTCGTCATCTAGATTGTTTTGAAATTTTATACAATGATGTCCGATTCATCCATATTACTTACACTTAAGAAAAGGAGTAGTCATAAGCAACGCTTCTAGCCCCCTGCGATGCTGCAAGTTTGCTATGACTTCTTAGAAAGCTCAACGGCCTCGGTTCGACTTCGCTGCCCTACCGCTCTCAACGGTCAACTTTGGTTGCTTCTGATGGTCAAGCTTCGGGTGCCCAAGCATTGCTCAAGCATTGCACAGCGTCCGTTAAATGATCTCTGTCCGCGACTTTCTCACCATGTTTGCATGCGTGTTGGGATTTATATTGTCTGATTCATGGGTACAACAACGATAAGCAAAGCACTAGCATGCGGATCAGGGCCTTGTCCGCACATACTAACGTCCACTTTCCATCAACAGGAGTCTGATCGTGTCCTAGGCGAGCCCATTAGCCCCATCAACGCTGACGTCATTCTGGAGACACTCCAGTCGGAGGCGGTCTTCGAAGCCTGCGCCAGGGGTGGAGCCGCTTACCAGGAGGTGAGATAACAGTTGCCTCTCTCTGGCAGGATTTTGCTGAACAGATTCTGCTTTCGCTTCTTCGATTTCTCCGTCCTGCTTCCAAGTCAGGCTGCTCGTTTGCAATTGTAAGGCCTAGCGTGTGCGAGCTCGGAGGTACCTTTCAGGAGAGCAGAGATGTGACGGTTGGACAGGGTTCACACGCTGCC